AACCTGGATTTATTTCCTAAAAATAATTATTCTGCCATTGAATTACATTGATGACCATTAGTGTGACATGACCATTTGTTAATTATAATATTGCTCTACAAGTTGAACATGCATACATGTAGGATACTGTTACTTAATGAGGGAAAATCTTGAAAACGTTAAAAGGTGTGGTAGGTCATGGGGTTTTGTTTTTGCAGCTAAGAATTTGAGCTTGTAAATATTGTACCAAGCTTCCTTTCTTTAATAGCTCAGCTACTTTGCTCACCCTTACTGGGGACCAACACACAGCCATGTTTGTTTTATGTTGTGTTTCTTGAACATATGGTTCTCCTGGGGGTTGAACCCAAGACCTTTGCTGTGTAACGCGAACATGATAACCACTACACTACAGAGCTGGCAGCTTAAAGGTGCAAGTTGATACTATAGATACTGTCGCTTTTTATGTATTTTATTTTATTTTTTGTTCAAGAAAGGTCTTGACAATTCTAACATTTCTGGTAAGTCATGGGCTTCTGTTTTTTACAAATTAATGATCTTGAATTTGCAACCGTAAATACTGTACCAAGCTTCCTTACTATAATTGCGACACATAGCCTGACTTATTGTGCTTCTTAAACCTATGGTTCTACTGGGGATTGAACCCAGGACCTTCTGCATGTAAAGCAGATGTGATGACCACTACACTATGGAACCTCACACTTGGATGGTTGAGTGAAATGGGCATTCATGTTGTAGGATACTGGTCATTATTGCAGGAAAAGCTTGAGATTGCTGAACAGTTGGGTAGCTCATGAGGCTTTGTTACTCATACTTATTGGCTACACACACACCCCCTTACTCGTGTTATGTTGCACATCTCAAAAGCATGGTTCCACTGGGGCTCGAACCCAGGACCTTCTGCTTCCCTCCAGAATGTCCATCCAACCCATAGGAGACTGTTGCTTTTTGTTTTTTAATGAAAAATCTTGACAACTTTGAGGTAGGTCATGGGGTTTTCTTTTATTTCACAGAGGTTAAAGATGAGCTTTGCCAGAGATTTCACAGATCTGTGTCACTGTAAATGTATTTGAGCAAATAAATCTTATAGTGTAGATGTCATTTTGGATCTGTCACTGGTTCACCTTCCTTGGACCACTTCTTGTAGGTACTAACCACCACATAGCAAGAACACCCCACAAGACCTGTCATTTTGGAGATGCTCTGACTCAGATATCCAGCCATCACAATTTGGCCCTTGCCCATTTTTCCTGTTTCCAACACATCAACTTCACTTGCTGACTACTACACTATGAAACCACTTGTTTGAAAGACTGAGTTAAATGGGCATTCATGTTGTAGGATACTGTTCATTAATGAGGAAAAGTCTTGAAAGATTTTGTTACTCACAATTTTGATGATGAACACAACCTTACACATTGGTGCACATTTCAAATACATGGTTCCACTGGGGCATGAGCCCAAGACCTTAGGTAGGTAGAGCAGAAGCAATGACCACTATACTATGGAACTACTTGCTGCACTGGTTGAGTTAAATGGACATTAATGTCATAGGATACTGTTCATTAATGAGGGAATATCTTGAAAATGTTAAGAGGATTTGTTACTCACTCTTTTTGACAGAGAGCACAACCTTACACATTGGTGCGCATCTCAAGCACATGTTTCCACTGAGGCTTGAAACCAGGACCTTTTGCGTGCAAAGTAGACAGGATAACCACTACACTATAGAACCACTTGCCTGCAAGAGTGAGTTAAATGGGCATTCATGTCGTAGGATACTGTTCATTATTGCAGGAAAATCTTGAAAATACTGAATGGTTGGGTATCTCATGAGGCTTTGTTACTCACACTTATTGGCGACACACACCCCCTTACTCGTGTTATGTTGCGCATCTCAAAAACATGGTTCCACTGGGGCTCGAACCCAGGACCTTCTGCGTGTAAAGCAGATGTAATAACCACTACAAATATGTTCCTCTGGAATGTCCATCCAGCCCGTAGGATACTGTTGCTTTTTGGTTTTTTTAATGAAAAATCTTAACAACTTTGAGGTAGATCATGGGGTTTGCTTTTATTTCACAGAGGTTAAAGATGAGCTTGCATTTATTTCCTCCACTACACTATAGCACCCATTAGAGGAACACCCATATGGACTGTGCATACATGTAATAGGCTACTGTTGATTTTTTTTTTTTTTTAAGAAAGATAAAGATCATAAAGATTATAAAGGTCATGGGGGTTTGTTTTTTGCAACATAGAGATCTTGGATTTGCAACTGTAAATATTGTACCAAGCTTCCTTTGTATAACAGATACATTACTCAACCTTACTCGCAAAGAATACACAGCCTAACTTGTTTTTTGTTGTGCTTCTCAATTTTGTGGTTCCACTGGGTGACCCAGGTGATATGTGTCAAAGTAACATCCACATGAATAGCAGGACCCAAGGTTTCCCAGCAGAACATTGCCCAGAGCATCACACTCCGCCTCCGCTAGCTTGCCTTCTTCCCATAGTGCATCCTGGTGCCATCTCTTCCCCACGTAAGCGACTCACATGCACCATCCATCCAGATGATGTAAAAGAAAATGGGATTCATCAGACCAGGCCACCTTCTTCCATTGCTCCATGGTCCAGTTCTGATGCTCATGTGCCCATTGTAGGTGCTTTCAGCAGTGGACAGGGGTCTCTGACCAGTCTGCAGCTACACAGCCCCCTATGCAGCAAGCTGCAATGTAATGTATGTTCCAACACCTTTCTATCATAGCCAGCAATCTGTGGTACAGTAGCCCTTCTGTGGGATCAGACCAGAGGAGCTGGCTTTCCCTCCCCACATGCATCAGTGAGCCTTGGGCACCCATGACCCTGTCACCGGTTGTCCTTCCTTGGACCACTTCTGGTAGGTACTAACCACTGCATACCGGGAACAACCCACAAGACCAGCCTGCTCAATTATATGACTTATTCTTACTGGTATTGTTCATTATTGCAGGAAAACCTCGAAAGGTTGGGTATCTCATGAGGCTTTGTTACCCACACACAATTTTACTCATGATATGTTGCACATCTCAAACACATGGTTTCACTGGGGCTTGAACGCAGGACCTTCTGCATGTAAAGTCAATATGATAACCATTACACTATGGAACCAGTTTATCAAGTTTGCTCAGAGCTTGCCCATTTTTCCTGTTTCCAACACATCAACTTCACTTGCTGACCACTACACTATGGAACCACTTGTTTGAAAGACAGAGTTAAATGGGCATTCATGTTGTAGAATACTGTTCATTAATGAGGGAAAGTCTTGAAAGGTTTTGTTACTGACTCTTTTTGATAATGAACACAACCCTATTCACTGGGGCACATCTCAAGCACATGGTTCCACTGGGGCTTGACCCAGGACCTTCTCCATGTAAAGTAGACATGATAACCAATACACTACGGAACCACTTCCGTGAAGGATTGAGTTAAATAGGCATTCATATCGTAGGATATTGTTCATTATTGCAGGAAAATCTTGAAAATACTGAATGGTTGGGTATCTCATGAGGCTTTGTTACTCACACCCCCTTACTCGTGTTATGTTGTGCATCTCAAAAACATGGTTTCACTGGGGCTCAAACCCAGGACCTTCTGCGTGTAAAGCAGACGTGATAACCACTACACTATGGAACCTGCTATAAAGGGAGCTCTCTAGAATGTCCATCCAGCCCATAGGATACTGTTGCTTTTTGTTTTTTAATGAAAGATTTTGACAACTTTGAGGTAGGTCATGGGGTTTGCTTTTATTTCACAGAGGTTAAAGATGAGCTTTTCCACAGATTTTACAGATCTGTGTCGCTGTAAATGTATTTGAGCGAAAAAATCTTATAGTGTAAATGTCATTTTGGATCTTGCATTTATTTCCTCAAAATATTTCATATGCCACTGCATTATAATTATAATAT